GGTCTCGGTTAAATTATGGAAAGAGGTTTTTTTTCCCACATAAAGTGACTCATAGATGTTCCTCTCAGTTTTACCCTTTTAAGAGAAGCTTTTAGCTCCATGTATCTCTGAAACCGGTCAGTTTGAAGTCCATAATCAGTGTGAAGTCTCATGAAGAATAACCTAACTGTCATTCGTTCATATCGTTAGAGATTGTTATCACAAACATATTACAGGCAAATACCGACTAAGCTGTTGATGCAGATAGCTATTTACAAATAGGCTATGCCATTTTTCTAAGACTTGACTCTGATGTTGTATTAATCCCTTTCTTGAAAAATTGCTTCATATGCTTTGCTAGCAGTGTATGTACTCAGATGTTAGTACCACGGTGGCCAAACTGCAGCTTGAGCTGCATGCGGCTCACTGGCATGGTACTAGCAACTCTCTGGGGCTTCTCCACCAAAGGCCTGCCCACTTCTCCCTGAGGCGGCTCTGGAGGACACAGGGCGGCCGTGGGTTAGGGCTGCACCTGTGGCGCGTATTCCGTGGCATGCTCCCCATTGGGAAAGCTGGAGTGGTACGGTGGTGATCAGTCTGTCCCTGAGTGGAGAGGAAAGACACTTCAGCTAGGAACCTCTGCCTTTGGTCCCAACCAACTGGATCATTGGCACACCCAGGGCAAAGATCCTAGCCTTGGCTATAGCCACCGCTCAGTGCCTCTGAGGAAGACTTAAAAATACCCTGACACACGTAGCAGAAAAGGGAGGGGGGAGTGGAGAGGGCAACCAGCAAAGCCCAGAAACATGGAAAATACTATAGGTGCACCTTGGTCCATATTGTATCAGCACTGAGGAAAGAAAAATTAAAATTATTGGTAATCAGCTGCTTTTGGTTGATGTGGCCAATAATGTCACCGATAAATGCCACATACATGTGCACAGCCAGAGTATGCACATGGCCAGCCTGGCAGCTTGGAGAGCAGCATCTGGCTGGTAAGTCTGTTGGGGGAGAAGGGGCAGGGGGAGGGAAGGGGCATAGG